GGGAGCTTAGCGTTTAGGGTTTAGGGCAGTGAATGTAAGTTAAGGTTCGGGGTTTGGGGGCTCAGGGGGGGTTGGCCCGGCATGCAACGACCCACTTATCATCTCCGCTCAATCTTCGAGCAGAGGGCTTATTCAAGGTTGATGTTGTCTCAGCCACCGAAGGGCTTGAACTACTGCTCCTTATATGGACGACTCAAACTCCACGACATCACCCCCCGGCCCAAGTGCATGCAGGAAAACCCACGTCTAAGCTCTGCAGAGCACCTGAAGCCCTACCCGATTAGCTATCGTGAAGCACGTAGCCGTACATCTTCAGTCCCCCCCCTAAACCCTAAACCCTAAACACCCCTTTTCGAGCCCTCAAACTGAGCTAGCCGGCTCCGGCCTGGCCCCGTGACCGACGGTCAGCAAGAGTCCCTGAACCGCCGAGAGGCCCTGGCACAAAGGCTTTTGTGGAAATTGCTTGATCTTTGTTATGGGGGGTGGGGGGGGTGGGGGGGGGGGTTTAGGGCTTAAGGGCTTAGGGTTGAAGGGTTTAAGAAGTCCGAGTTTTCGGGGTTGAAGAGAATTTGGAGTTAGGTTCTCGGAATTCAGTTCAAGAATCTCAGGTTCTAGGCCCAAGGCTTTCCAGGGGGTAGTTCATCAGTGGTATGGCTTTTAACTCCAGGACTCCATGAGGTTTGGGTTTAGGGTTTAGGGTTTAAGGTTTAGGGTTTAGGGTTTAAGGTTTAGGGTTTATAGGGTTTAGGGTTTAGGAGTTTAGGGTTTATTGCGGCAGTTGACACTAAACTAAACCAACATCTGCTGCTATCCCGCACACGTAGATCTCTGGAGATTTCCGAGCAACAGCCTGAACTTCGTCTTGAGCCTTTTGGCTTATGCTATGCCCAAGCAGTAGCGAATCGGTTGACTATTGACCGCGTTGGATGCAGAAGATGGAGCCATCGATCATGCCGGATACTGCAGCCAGTAGGCTTCTGGAGTGATTTGCTCCGACGCGCCCACTAGTTCTGCCGACATGTCTCTCATTTGCGAGAGTTACCTATGGCGATTTGGCTAGTTCTGTCGAGTCTCATGTTTCACACTTCTGCACTTCATTCCTGACATGTCCTCACCTCGTCGGATATTGAATTTCGGAGATGTCGGCATGGCAGCACATGTTAAAGTTGTTCAACGCTTGCAACCCGGGTGCTTGCCCGAAGCGAAGACATGCCGGCGAACAAAAACAAAAAAAAACAAACAAACAAACAAACAAGCAAACAAACAAACAAACAAACAAAACACAACAACCATTAGGCCCATTCGGCTGCTGGTCTCTTGGCAAGACGGCCAGCAGACCGCAGTAATTCTTCAATATGCATCGGGCCTCCGAACGTTTCAGCGCCATCATCCTTTCCACGTGCGCCTGCAGCCGCTTGGGCGCCTCAATCTCTTGGCATCTGAGAGCTCATAGGGTTTAGGGTTTAGGGTGTGTAGGGTTTAGGGTTTAGGGCTTAGGGTTTGGGGTTTTGAGGGTTTAGGGCAAAACAAAACTTCCGAAAACCAAGGAACCGACAATGGCACTGGCCAGGATCAAAGAGCTCATCTTAGATACTGCAGCAAGTACCTCTCACTTATGTACCGGCTCCCTCTATCAACTTATTCTGTCACGGAGCCACTCTCTGAACATCTGGGCCGTTTTCGAAGAAACTCAGGTGACCCACGTAGTCGAGGAGAGAATCGCTGCAGAATCTGAAGTCCAGCTCCGATATGCACTCAGCATGTTTCAGACTCTTCCACTCGGCAGTCTCGAAGAATACGCTGCAGGAGTGTGCAACATCCTTCTACGAAGCATCTGATCCTACGGATATAAGATATGTGAATGCGCTGGCAACTTTCAAAACGCAGTCTCATGTCGCACATGCAACCCTAACCCTGAACCCTAACCCTAAACCCTGCATCCTAAAACCTAAACCCTAAAACCTACAAGCATCAGCTTCTCCCATGGCCTGCTGGAAAAGCTGCTGGACATGTCCTTCATGATTCGCGGAGCTCTCTCAGATTTGACTCCCTAAACTCCCAGCCCTCAAGATGCCAAGAGAAGGGAGGCCAGACCCTTTCCACGAAGTTAGGCTCTAGAAGCCCGAAAGAAGTCAAATGCACTCTGGGTGAAGTCCCATAAGTCTTTTTCGGATGCCACTGGCAACTTGGACCTTTGGTGCATTTGTCATAATGGTAAAGCCCACACAGAGGCTCAGAGTGCTGGTCGCGACTTGCTATTCACTACACGTGCGGTTCTGCGAAACCTCTTGCTTCGTATGAAACCTGACATGGAACCTAGATGCAGTTCGTCAACACTCCTCAGGCGAGTTCTGGATGAATTCCTGTGATACCGATGATTAGTGCATGCGGTTCTCTTTGTCTTGATTTACCCGGCAACGTTCCGTGATGGTCTCACGCGTGCGCTGGGGACCGTCAGTGCAGTGCGCTGAACCTAAAGCCTTTAGTGTTTAGATGTGCAAAAAGCGAAAATGAAACACCCAAAACAGCGAACCTTGGGAAAGAAGGCGGGTTCATCCAAAGAGGCCTCCCCCCCGTTCCCCTCTGCCCAAAGCAGAGACGCTGCTGTAAACCACCAAGCAGATGGCAAACATATGAGAACTGACCTGTAACGGCAGCATCCATTATCGGAGTAAAACCCATCATCAAGCTGCCTTGGCACCCCTCGTTGCTACGGCGTAATTCAGCAAAGCCAAGCGCGCCTTCTCGCAACAGAAGCTCAGACGGAGAAGCGTCCTGGTCGGGTTGGGAGCTTGTAGTTTTGGGACGGTAGGGGGAGTGGTAAACATACAGGTTTCCACTCATCTGTTATTTTCTAAATTATGTAAGTTGCAGCACTGGTACGCAAGGTGGATTTAATTAAGAACCTCGCTCCGGGGAACACAGGCTGGAACTCGGGGCTTTGAGCATCACATATCCTACACCTCGGGTTCGTGCTGAAAGTACAGCGCATTCGATACCTTTACGCTGTCAGCAGATAGGCCCTGTTGGGTTCACGAAACTTTGGTCCTAAGAGGCTGGTGACTGGAAGGCCAGCAGGGCATGGCAGACGGCACTACCACCTCTACCACCATCATCATCAGACGCGCGACCCTCTGAGCTCAAGCGTCTGAGAGCCTAAGGCTTTTGAGGGGCTGATGCCAAAAGTTTCCGCAGAAATGTGTTCAATCAAATGTTGCAAAAATGAGCACTACCAAATACTACCAGTAACGTCCCGAGTGCATTCAATGAACTTAGGTGGCTGAAACGGTAGCATCGCCGCCCCAGCTGTCAGTTTCTTCACTCACTCCCCAGCCAACACAACGAGAACTGTTGGAGTGCAGTGGTGGGTCGCTGGCCTGTATGTATCGAAGTTCCATGCGTCCCGAGACCATTTAGGAATTCTTAAGCCAGAGCCGCTTCAAACAGGAAACTTCGTGACTCAAACAGAGTACATCGCACCAAGACGATACTCCCCGTGCCGGGAAAGACATGCGCTTTGCTGCGGGGGCACCTCAGAACAGCGGCCCTCATGGAAGACGAGAATCCGTGAGAAGAAGTGGATGACGGGAAGAAGCCTGGGCACCAGGAGAGCTTTTTGCACGTCTTTGGTGGCCCAGGTCCTCGCTTCGCTTGTATTCCATCGGCAGCATCTCCAGACTCTAGTTCAGTCTGAGGTTTAGGGCTTATAAAGCTGAAACGAATAGGGATCCCTTGTGTGGGGTCTCCAGGCAGGGGCCTCAGAGCTAATAGGTGCTATAGTCATGGACTTCAGGGCTCGATGGTATGTATGCTATGCTGATGCGGTGTCGACAAATACAAGTATGCACGCCAGGATTATCTACCAGACGTGGATGCACCCAGTCAGCACTTATGCGAATGGGGGACGTGTCCCCATATCGTTGTACGGCAGCTGCAGGTCGACACACTTGTATAGATTCCTCCGATGCTGCGCTGTGGTCTTCCTCTTCGAGGTGCAGCTGTGCACTAAGCTTCATCAATCCATAGACGAGCAAAGCACAACACGGGAAATGTTCAGGAAAGTAACAATGACTACAACAGAAGGCAATGGCAATGGTGGTCCAGTCTCGAAAATGCAAGATTCGCCTCGGCCCCGGCCGAAGCAGCGGTCAGAGGTTCTCACAGGGACCCCCTGATTCCCTCCTCTTCGTCCCCTTCTCAGTGACACCGTGCTCGCCCCCGCCCGGTCCCCCAGCCTTATCCTTTCGTTTTTGCACCCTGTGTTTGCACCCTGTGGCTACGCACTGCTCTTCACCTACGGCCGCGCCGAGGCAGACGACGAGAAGCGTTTACAATTAGATTCTATATTCTTGCATCCGTCGATGGCCACCTCCAAACCCATCTTGCAGACACTGAGGCTTGGAAACGTACTTGTTGAAATTCCTTCGCCAGGAATACCCTTGCATGAGCCTGTTTTCCCCAGTCCCACATCAGCCAGAAACTGATACCGTTAAGTGTGAACCGTGGTTTCAAACTCTACTCAATTACTGTGGTCGTCATACTCGTCTGAAGCAGGCCTGTGGGTGACGGTCATCAGTGCTGCATGCTTCAGCTGGATCTTCAACATGCTGTGCAAAGGGGTCACCTGCAGATTGCATGCGGTAGTAGAGGAGACAGGTTCACGTTTCTGGGAACTGTAATAAGGGCAGGATCTTATACCAATTAATACTCCAGGAGATGACAAGGTCTCGCCTGAGGACCTCGGAACTCGGGTCCTTCCGGGTAGGGTCCTCGCTCGAATTACGAGCTTGGGGAATCATCTTTGTGTTGCAATACGATGCGTGCTGGTGCTACTGTTGCTACTATAGACGAAAGTGTTACTACTGTAGCTACTGCTACTACTACTTCTACTACTACTACTACTACTACTGCTACTGCTACTGCTACTGCTACTGCTACTGCTACTGCTACTGCTACTGCGACTGCTACTGCTACTGCGACTGCTACAACTACTCCTCTTGCTGCTGCTGCCTTGACGACGAGCCGACAAGCATGACCATCTTTATCATTGCCACCGGTCCACTCCCGCGCATTCTCATGTTTCTTTGCTGTTCCTCTTCAATCACAAACCAGGCCACCTTCAACAACATACAGCCAAATTCATCACATCGCCTTGACTACACGTACCCGGAAAAAGAATCATGCATCCCGACAATACAGGGATACATAGCAAGTGACAGCTAATGTTCTGATTGCCCCTCGTCTTCATACCAGCTCTCCCGTCATTAAGGTTCGGAGTCTAGAGACATCTGCAACAGCAAGCATAGCCTCACCATAGCCTGCCCCCTGGATCACAAAGAGTTTCTATTCTATACTATATATTATTAAAGTAGCACTATGACTGCTATCCTGAAGATGGTGTCTTGCTCTCATCGCGGTGCTGTTGCTTGTCCCCCCGGCGCCTCGTTCTGCTCCATTCCGGCGAAAGGCTGGCGGGCGAGAAAGTTTAACAAACACTGCCTTCTGCTTGGAAACAAAGCTGCAAAGCTATAAAGTTAATGGCCGCATAAGGCTCAGGCTACAGATAGAATTATTGAAGAAACCCGAACTCCACTGAAGCATGCCGTGTAACTCAAAGAAACGGAACTGAAGTATAGATCATCCTGGTATGACTTCGACGTCATCATGGCGATCTTTCAGCTTCAAACCTTAAGCAGCTTCGATGCTTCCTCCTGCTAGATCGAAGCAGGCAGACAGAAAGCAACAAAAACAAACTGTGGCTTCAAGATCTTCTCCACAAGAGCAGGGCTACAAAGGACTCTCAACACGCTAAAATGCACACGGCGCCTGGAAGAACTAACGTTGACTCCTTGAGCCCTTGTTAGAGTCTTCAGCGGGCCTTCAGACGCAGAAACCATAGACTGCCATAAACCCCAAACCTTGAAAGCTCTAAACCACTCACCCGAATCCCTGAAGCTGTCTGGAAACTCTTACTTTACTGGGACTGTCACCTCATCCAAGAGCACCAAGCGCGCTGTATGCCGGTGTAGCAGGAGCCGCGCTAGAACCAGCAGCCTCTTCGAAGCAAACAAGAGTAGCATTTATCATAATAACGGATAGGTGGCATTGCCGGTTATCGGGTTTAGGTGTTGGTCGCACCACTTTCGTTTGAGTGGTGGCAGTGGCAACAGCGTTGGCAACAGCAGCGGTGACGGCCGTGCTGCAGACAACTGATTCCAGTATGCTCCTACATGATGACTCTGCTTCTCCTTGCCACTATCGCTTCTCTGTCACTGCAAGAGCCAGGCATGTCTTAGGTAGTATCTGCGGTGCTGGTAGATTCATGGTTCGCTTATGGCACATGGCATGGTTTCGGCATCCCTGGCTTCCGTGTGTCGAGCACTAAGCCCTGTGGTTCCCTCTAAACTACACGGAACTTCACGCCGATTCATCCTTTGGGCAATGTGGAAACCGTCAGGATAGAGCTGAGACCGGTAAGATGGGTAACGAATCAGTCTACATTCCACAAGCCTTGCCACTTTGCTACACCTCCCAAGGGCCACAACAACAACCTACCATTGCCTGTGAAGCAGACCCCTTGCTCATGAACCCCCCACCTTTCCATCAGGATTATCTTGGAGGTCCCTGTCAGTCTTTCATTCCAAAACGAACATTGTGTTTCTCAATCAGGTGTCGGTCTGATCCAAAATCTGAGACACATTAAAGTATTTAAAGCCTGTATAAACCCGGAACCTTAGTACCCATGAAGCCTAAACCCCCGTAAAGCCTAGAAGCCCCAAACCGCTATTAAACCTTCACTTCGCTCCTGCGCTGACTGCTTGAAAGCTGCAGCTTCCTGACATGGGTTTGGGGTTTAGGCTTTAGGGTTTGCAGGAAGTCCAGGGAGAGACTCCGACAAATCCGGGATTTTGAGTTCCACACACATACAGCTACCCACCCTCCTACCCACCTACCTACCTACCTACCTACCTACCTGCCTACCTACCTACTTACCCACCGACCTACCTACCTATACCTACCGCAAACCGACCGACCGACCGACCGACCTACCTACCTACCGGCCTACCTCCTGCTGCATGCATATACAATACATTGTATACAATAGACTAATAGATATGTACACGCATATATCTTATATATGTATATGTATCGTTCTAACTGTCGATCTCTCTCATTATTTCTGCTGTTATGCCCCTCTTCGTTTCTCACATTCTCTCAATTTATTTGTGTGCTTCCTCTTCTTTTGCAAGAAGGGTGTACACACCCAACGCTCCTCCCTCTCTTTCTTTTTGTTTCTCTCTCTCTCTCTCTCTCTCTCGCCTGAGCCAGAAGGTTTGGGTTCCGAAGCCTTGAATAAAACCGCGGCGACTGAAAGACTTGTGATACGTCGGTACGAGCATGTCGTGCCGATGCAAAAGAAAGAATTCATATCGGCGCGTGCTGGACCGTGTGATTGCAGGTGGGATTCTGTGGCTTCCCCTCTCGACATTCAACTGATATTGAGAATATGGCCTCGAAGTATTATTACATACTACAGTTATAATAGAGAACCCCTAAAAGTATCGGTAGTTGTTTCTGCCTCTACAGTATGGCGCAAACAACCTCAGGAGGTGATCGCATCCGATCTGGGGATTCCTCAGTACCTAAGCCTGAACTGGCGAATCTACGCCCTTGCAGCGCACATGCTCGCAGCGACCAGACTCAGACGCCCGAGGCGTACAAACCACGCTTCAAGCCGGAAATGCTCCCAGATATGTTAAACTACAATATGTATACTACAGATATAATGTTATACATCTGTATATAGAGTATCTGACACACCAACCCCTTGAGCTGCAGTACCTACATCAGACAGTAATCAGCGAGGAATGCACGGGGCGGTCACGATGCCCACATCACCAGACCATAGACGTTTTTCACTATAACCACAACGGTAGTGGTATATGGGGTGTATGGTATAGAGATTAGGCGGTATTAGCAGCGACATGCGGCTTAGCAACATAAGCCATGGTGATGGATGATGATTATGACCCTTCGCACGAGCCTAGGCTCTATCTCACGACAGATGATGTGAGGGTCCTCGGCCCTGCCGTCGCTGCGCTGTCAGTTCGAGAAGGAGCTCCTAAGCACCGCAAGCTAAGAGCAGGTTAGGCGTTCACGATTTCAGGTGCGGGTTTGGGACTTCGTCAGCATGCGGGCTAACTTCTTGCTTTCAACCTCCTTTTAACAAACGAGCAGGTCAAACCGACTCCACAGCAGATCCGGAACCTTGAACTGCCCCTCACGCCCGAGTACGCTGCCCGATTCTGAAACCTCGGGCCTAAACCATCCCAACAGAACTGCCAGGACTGTAGGCTGCACGTCACGATGTAAGATTTGTATACTGAAGGTGCGAAGCATGCTGAAACAGCTGCACAAGACCAGAAACACAGCAGCCGATATGTATATATATATATATGTACACGGGGTAGCTTTACCCGCCCAAGACAAACAGCAGTAGAATCACAGCACTTCAAAACCAGCCATTCCGCAACTAGACGCTCGATTTGTCGACGCTCGCAGAGGCTCTGGCAACTTCAGATCCCCAAAGCGGCATGCGTACAGTGCGACAAGCGAAACTGAAACAGCATATGCAAGACTCTGCTCGCACCCGTCTTCCCTCTGCATTGCGTACACATGTCCTGTCAATTCACGGCGAGTCATTCCGCTAATGAGCAACACTGGGGGCACCTTACAATACATCCTCACACTAACTTCGGATCACACAAACGGGGAACTTCACAATATCTGCGACCCTATCCCAACATGGCCCTAGAAACGCATATTCAAAACCCTTAAGGCCCCAAAGAAGGTGACCCTAAATTAGAGAAAACCCCGCCATTTCGAGCCCCTGGCTGTCCGTGCCCGGGCTATGCTCTACCGGGCTCGCCTCGGGCAACGCGCCCGAGGGCCGTGGCTGCTCCTCCACACAGGAAGCTTCTGAAGCGCAAGACGTATAGCGTTTGGGTTTTACTGTTACATTTGCCTGTTTAAGTCCTTGTCACAGGCGTTGTGAGTCAGGGAGTCAGGGAATTTGATTTTGGATGTGGGGCTCGGACAGAGAATGAGTTCGAAGGGCTGTTCGGAGTTACAGGGTCTGGGTGCGAGGGATTGTGAAGCAACGCTGACGACGGAGTTGAAGAATTGCACAGGGCACACATCTAATTTCTAAGTCCGGAACCCCATGTCCCAAACTGAATCTCAACCCTGAGGTTCGGCTATCTTTTTGCAAAGGACTGCGCAGTTCCGAGCCAGAGGGCAAAGCTGTAAGAAGTCCTCAGATTGTGAGATTGCCCTCCTGAACCCAGACCAAACCTGAACCCCGATCTCTACCCAGGATGCTACCTGCCTCTATGCGTGCGAGTGCCGATGTTGAAGGCACACCTCGGCTGGGAGGGGCCGGGTTGTAGGTAGGAACAGACTCAGAAGCCGGCAGGGTTCAAGGGCGGCACAAAACGCTTTTGCCGAAAGCTAGGTGTGCAAGCAGAAATTCAGTCTGACTGATTGATTGTCTGCCGCTTTGCATGTGCGGATGTACACATGCACCTAGACGACGCATACATGCGCAGGCATGCGTGTATGTGTACACACACACATATATATATATATAAATGTGCATATATATATACACGTACAAACATGTAACTACGTGTGTAGATGAGTCCTCCTTTGCAAGATATTAACATGTATATATATATATACATACATACAAATATAGATATAGATATATATATGTATACACACATAACTACGTATGTAGATGAGTCCTCCATTGCAAGATATTCATATATATATATATGTATACATATATATATATATGTATATACACATATATATACCCTCAGCTATCTACCATGTTGTGGTTTTCCAGGGCACATGAGGGAGCATTTACCCAAACTCTGGGTCTTTT